AGTCATTTGATTCTCTAGGTTTCGCAATTGATAAACAAAATTGTCCTAAATTACATATATTTATGGCAGGATTGCATCCATATAAATGTGTCTGTACATATTAGCTTTATTAATAGCTTATGCTTTTATTTGTAAAGGTGTTACAGAAGTATAAGTAAAAACTGGAGAAGATGGAACTTAACATTAATGTCATCCCAAATTTTAACCTTGGGGAGCAGGGACTCCAACCCTAGATGCATATATGGTTCATTGTGGATTTCATGTTGGCGTTTCGTTAGTAATCGAATAGCTACCTGATGAAAGTTATAAATATTATTGCAAATGTATGTTTAAATGCCTATTATTTTAGATTTCGCAGATAATTCACATAATAAATGTTTGATTACAGCCTATCAGAAAGGTTTATTTCGATGCTAGATGTGTAAACTTCCATTTTTTGGAAATGGTTTTGGTTGTGATTAAGTTATACCGCGCTACGATATAAGATTTATGTATCCCAATTTAAGAGGTATTATAATATAATTATTTAAGTTTGTAATGGATGTTGTGATATTTGTTATGAAGATGGAGAGTGTATGTATTGTATGAGAGGGTGTGGAGAAAAAGATAATAAAAATAATAAATAATGCTTCTGTTGTATTTTATATATTTATATGGATAGCTTGTAGTGGCCATTATTATTGTTATATAGATTACCGAAATAGCAGATTTATTGAATATCCAGGATGTTTGGAAGGATATATGTAAATAGGATCTTCTTGTTTCGGTAATTTTATTAGGAGATTTTTTTTAGGTATTTCACCTTGTCTATACGCTATCCCATCAGCTAAAAATATCTACAATTGTTAGAGTTGCTAGACAGGATACTAAAAATAGGTTTACTCTGGAAGTGACTATCGTTGTTATATGAAGGATTGGAATTGTGACCCTTCAAGATAATCAATGATATTTGATTATTAAATAGACAACAAAATGTATTATTATACAACATGTACTTTATGCGATCCAAATTTCTTTTACTCGAAAAAACACAAATAATGTATAACTTGCTACAGTAAGTTGAATTAAATAGCTGATAATGGTATCTGCAAATGCAAACCATTCTATGGTTTGTTAGAAGAA